AAGCCTAAGTTGAAAGAGTTGACCGGATGTTGACTTGTATGTAAATCACCCCAGAATTGAGTTTTGATGGTTCTGATAGCTCCGTATGGTGATTTTGGACTTAGGAGTGTGCCCGGATATTGATTTGGAGGTCCGTAGATGATTTTGGCTTGAATTGGCGAAAGTTGGAAAAGTTGAAGTTTGGAGAGTTGTGAAGTTTGATCGAGAGTTGACTTTGTTGTTACAGGGCTCAGATTTTGGTTCCGGAAGTTAGAATAGGTCTGTTATGTCATTTATGACTTGTGTGCAAAATTTGAGGTCAATCAGAGTTGGTTTGATAGGTTACGGCATCGATTGTAGATGTTGGGAATCCATTAGTTTCTTTAGGCTTGAATTTGGGTGTGATTCGTATTTTTAATGTTGTTTGACATGATTTGAGGCCTCGACTAAGTTCGTATAATATTTTATGACTTGTTAGTATATTTGGTTGAGGTCACAGGGGCCTCGGGTAGATTTCAGATGGTTAATAGATTGAAATTTGGACTTAGAGTTGCGGATCTGCTGCTAGTCTGGTGCGATCACACCTGCGAAGGATTGGTCATAGGTGCGCGATCGCAGAAGTGATCATGGGTCGCAGGAGCGGTCTTGTGGGTGTTGGGCAGTGGTTGCAAGTGCGATGAAGTTTTCACATCTTCGAGCCCGCAAATGCGACGAGTCTCTGCAGATGCAGAGTTTGATAGATGTGGCTAGCCTCCCAGAAGCAGATTGGAATCTGTAGGCTCGGATGCGCAGAAGCAAAGCACGGACCGCAGAAGTGGTCTCACAGTTGCGTGTTTTGGGTCGCATGTGTGGCTGGTCGCATTCTTAAATGACTTCTAGAGGAGCGGACCTTCTTCCGCAGAAGCGGAGCCGCAGGTGCGGCTGGTAGTCTGCATGTGCGAAGATGCCTAGGCAGAAGAAAATCGAGGGTTTTGGACTTTGCAAGCTAGGGTAGTGGCGATTTTTGAGAGGGGTTTCACTAGATTTCAAGAGGTAAGCCACTTTTGATTATTTTTATTCATTAATATTGAATAGCCATTGAATATTTCCACCTAGATTTTGTGTTTTTAAGGTGGAATTTGGGAAATTCTTTACTAGGGATTAAAGAGTAAGATTTGAGGATTTGAGTGTCGATATGTGGTCGGAATTGGGTGATTTTCGTATGGTTGGACTCGTTATTGAATGGGTGTTCAGATTTTGTAAATTTTGTTGGATTCCGAGATATGGGCCTGGGTTTGACGTTTTGACTTTAATTAAGAAACTTAGCTTGATCATATGGAATTGATTCCTATAGCTTGTATTGATTGTACTAAGTTCTTTGTGGCTAGATTCGAGTCGTTCGGAGGCCGATTCGCGAGGCGAGGACTTGTTGGAGTAGGGATTTTGCGTTGTTTGAGGTAAGTAATACTTCTAAACTTGATACTGAGGATATGAATCCCTGAACTACATGTTATGTGGTTGGTGTTGAGGTGACACATTTGCTAGGTGATGGGTGTGTGGGCGTGCACCATAGTAATTGTGACTCGGTTGATTCCGTGGGACTATGTAGTTATCTAATATTGCTATTATTTATGTATTCTCCATGTGTTAGAGAAAGTGAGCTGTGATTCATATTAGAAATCATGTTTAGGCTATATGTTGGAACTATTGCGATCCACGAAGGTCATTTTTGTTCTTGAGTTATTGGCTTAAATTGTAGCTACGTACTCAGTTGCATTCATTATTTGCATATCATATCTCAGTCTTTGTTATCATTCATTGTTACATCATTTGTCATTGTTTTGGGCTGGTTGGCATGAGTTTTGTGAGCCTGAGAGACTGGAAAGATTTATGACTGAGTAAGGCCGTGTCACAACCCAAATCTCACATGTCGTGATGACGTCTATCGCAAAACTAGGCAAGCCGACAATCACACTAAACCACACATTATAAAATGATCTTAAGAGTAAAATCTTAAAAAATAACTGATATAAAGATACAACGACTCAATACAAAATCTCCCAAAATTCGGGTGTCACTAAGTACATGAGAATCTATACAATAACATGGTCTGACTGTTGAAACATTGTCTAGGAAGGTAGAACAATATAAATAAAACTAAAAGATAAAGGAGGAGAGTCAAGGTCTGCGGACGCCAAAGCAGCTACCTCGAGAATCTCCGAACTGATAAAGCTCCAATATCAGCAATCACCGTACCCGGAAGTACCTGGATCCGCATACGAAGTGTAGAGTGTAGTATAAGTACAACCAACCCAATGTACTCAATAAGTCACAAGACTAACCTTGGACTGAAAATAGTGACGAGTTCAATAGATACAGTCCAAATACAGAAATATCAATACAGAAATGTAGACATGCTTCATGTTCAACAATTTAAGCTTAAAGCAGATAAAATATGCCAAGTGTGACTGAAATGAGGAATGAAACATCTCTATCTCTACATGTAATTATACATGCCAACTGTAATGCAACGTAGAGATAAAGTCATATGCATACTCTCGGAGTATCAATGCACTCAGTCCTTCAAATCACTCAATCCTCACAGTCACTCAACGTCACAGTCGTTCAGCACTGGCGCTCGACACTCGCAATCACTAGGTACCTGCGCTCACTGCTGGTAAGTCACACTCTGGAAGGGCGAATCCTACCCCAAGCGCTAAAATAAGAGAATCATGGCATGAATCAATAAAGCATGTTGCGGCGTACAACCCGATTCCATAAACATCCTCACAATCAGGCCCTCCGCCTCACAGAGTCATAAATCTCTCCAGTCTCTCGGGCTCACAAGTATCATGATAATCAACCCAAACAATGATGATATGATGTATCAATAAATGGCAACAGAAATTGAGATATGATATACAAATGATAGCTGTGACTGAGTACATAATTACAAATTAAGTAAATAACTCAACAACAACACGACCTCTGTGGGTCCCAACAGTACCAACATATAGCCTAAGCATGATTTTTAACATGAATCACTACTCAATTTCTCTAACACATGGGGAGTATATGGATAATGACAAGATTATTTGACTACACAGTTCCACGGAATCGACCAAGTCACAATTCCTACAGTGTACGCCCATACGCCCATCACCTAGCATGTGCGTCACCCCAACACCAATCACATAACACATAATTCAGGGATTCATACCCTCAGAATCAATTTAAGAAGTGTTACTTTCTCAAACCGTGCAATTCTCTAAATAAGTCCTTGCCTCGCGAATCATCCTCCGAACGCTTTGCATTTTACCACAAACAACTTGATACTATCAACACAAACTATAGGAATCAATTCCATATGAAAATACTAAGTTCTTAATCAAAAGTCAAAAAGTCAACTCATAAAGTCAACCCCCGGGCCCATGTCTCGAAATCTAACAAAAGTTACAAAATCTGATCACGCATTCAACCACGAGTCCAACTATATCAAAATTACTCAAATCCTACACCAAATCATCACACAAATCCCCAATTCTTACTCTCCAATCCCTAGCCCAAAACTCTCTTTTTAAAAACACATAAACTAGATGGGAAATTCGATAGGTAATAAATATAAATAGGTAAAAACGACTAAAAGTTGCTTATCTCTCAAAATCCAGCAAAAACCCTTCTAAAATCATCTTAATCCTATCTCTCAAAGTCCAAAATGAATAAAAACTTGAAACCCTTCGAATATATGCACTACCAGGCTTTTCGCTTCTCTAGACCTTTTAGCCGCTTCTGCGGTAAAACATCCGCACATGCGGAATTACACTACACACCCAACCCCGCGCACCTATGGTCCCCCTCTTTACACCTACGGGAGGGCATCTGCGGACAAAACCTTCGCTTCTGCGATCACCAGCTACACAGCTCAACTCCGCTTCTGCGGACCCTAATGCGCAAAAACGCATCCGCTCCTGCGGCCTTCTTTTTGCACCTACGACCACTGCCCAACTTCTCCCAAACCACACCTGTGACCAATCCTCTGCAGGTGCGATCGCACCAGACATCAGCAGCCAAGAAATTCTCCTAAGTCAAAATCCAATCCGATATCCATCCAAATCATCCCCGAGGCCTCTGGGACCTTAAAATAATATACCAACAAGTCCTAAAAAATAATACAAACTTATTCGAAGCCTCAAATCACATCAAACAATATCAAAAACATGAATCGCACCCCAACTGAAGCCTACGAAAAACTAATAAATTCTAACTTCTACAATCGATGCCGAAACCTATCAAATCAACTTTGATTGACCTCAAAATTTTCACACATGTCATAAATGACACAAAGCACCTATTCTAACTTCCGAAACCAACATCCGATCCCGGTAACCACAAAGGCAACTCTCGGTCAGACTTCTCAACTCTCCAAACTTTTAATTTTCCAACTTTTACCGTTTCAAGCCAAAATCATCTACGGACTTCCAAATCACTATCCGGATACACTCCTAAGTCCAAAAACACTATACAGATCTATCGGAACCATAAAAACTCTATTCTGGAGCCATTTACACCTAAGTCAATATATGATCAATTCTTTCAACTTAGGCTTCCAACCTTGGGACTAAGGGTCCCAACTCACTCTGAACATCCACGTAACCAAACCAATCATCCTAAAAAGTTGCATAACAGCAAACAAACACATAATAGGCTATAAATGGGGGGAACGGGGCTATAATACTCAAAATGACCGGCTGGATGTTACAGGGCGAGGGCCTGATTGTGAGTGATATTTATGGGATCGGGTTACATGTCGCAGTAGGCTTTATTGATTCATGATGGGATCGGGTTGTGCACCGCAGCATGCTATTTTTAGCTTATATTAGCACTTGGGTAGGATCTGCCCTACTAGAGTCTGATATACCAGCAGTGAGGGCAGGTATCGACGAGTGCTGAGTGTGGGTTCTGAGTGATTAAGAGTGCTGAATGATTGAGAGTGCTGAGTGATTGGGAGTGCTGAGTGACTGAGCGTGCTGAGTGAGGTTGAATACTCTGAGAGTATTAGTATATGGCCTTATCACTGTGTTGCATTATAATTGACATGTATATTTGACATGTAGATATCGAGATGTAACATACCTCATATTGGTCATACTTGGCATATTTTATCCGTGTTGAGCTTAAACAATTAAAAACTTGAAAGCATGTCTACATTTCTATACTGTTTACAAACTGATTATGAGATCTTCTTTGAGTTATTACTGTCATTTTCGTGTCATATCTGCATTGTTATTATCTGGATTTGACTGTACCTTTCTGAGCTCATCACTGCATTCAACTCAAGGTTAGTCCTGTTACTTATTGAGTAAATTAGGTCGGTTGTACTCATACTATACTTTGCACTTTGTGTGTATATCCATATGTATCCGGACATGGCGGTTGCTAGATCTGGAGCTTCATCTGCTTGAAGACTTTTAAGGTAGCTGCTTTGGCATCCGCACACCTCGACTCTCCTTCTTTTCAGTTTATTTAGCATTGTTCTATCTTTCTATACAGTTGTATTAGCAGTTTTGACTGTGTTGACATTTTAGTAGCTCATGTACTCATTGACACCCGAATTTTAGGGATTTTTATTGAGTCACGGTATATTCTTATCGGTTATTATGAGAATTGTCACTGTTAAACTTATTTCATCATGTTTTCAATTCAAAATGTATAGTTATTTGTGATTGTCGGCTTGCCTAGTTTTGTGATAGGCGCCATGATGACATGTTGAGTTTTGGGTCGTGACATGCTGTATTTTGTTTCCCTCTAATGAGGAGAGAGTGAAGAGAATCTTTGATTATATTCACCACGGCATTTGCGCTATGGCTAGGGAGGCAGATATCGGGGCTTTATTTCACTAGGATGTGGATATAGAACATCGTATTTAGCGCATCTGCAATGAGACTAGAGAGATGATGCAAGGCAGGGAAAAGAGGTCCCGACATTCAGGTAGCTTCAGTGGTGCCTCATGTGGACGCCGAGGTTAATTTAGGAGAGGCCATTCTAGGAGGCCATCTTATCATGCACCACCACCTTGTCGAGGAGCTCCAGTGCAGTATTTATTCAGTGCACTTATAGAAGAGATTTCTCATCGCGCTCCAATTATTTAGAGTTTATCTATACCAACTTTTTTTGGTGGATATTCTTGTTCACAAGGTCTGTTTTATGCCACATAGTCATTCCGGGCAGAGGTTGCTATAAGTGTGGGGACTTGGGGAACATCAAGAAATAATGCACCTATTTCCAACCGCTCAATCAGTTCGAGGTGGAGGTCATATAGGACGTGGTGGTCCTAGAGGAGGAGCTCAGTCAAGTGGAGGTCAAGCTAGATGCTATGCATTCCCAAGGAGGACCGAGGTTGTCACTTCTGATGCAGTTATCATAGGTATTGTTTATGTGTGCCCCATGGAAGGTTTGATATTGTTTGATCCTGGCTCTACTTATTCATATGTGTCATAATACTTTGCTTCTTGTGTGAATATGCCATATGATTCGCTTGTTACCCCTGTCCATGTATCTACACCAGTTAGGGATTCTATTGTGGTGGATCACGTTTATTAGTTCTTTATGGTCACTATATGTGTTTTTGAGACGAGAGCAGACTTTCTATTATTAGATATGGTAGACTTTGATGTGATCTTGGGTACGGATTGGCTATCTTCGTACCATGATATTCTTGATTATCACGCTAAGAACATGACGTTGGCCATGCCGGAGTTGCCATGGTTGGAATGGAGGGGTTCAAAAATCAAATTTTCTTTGAAAATTCAGAGTTAAACTTTCTAAAAATCGAAACATATCACACACACAAGTCATAGATCATCAAATAGTGCTATGAATGGTCTCAATCATGAAATAGGGAGCTAAAACTCAAAATGACCTATATGGTCAATATAGTATCACCTCGGGGTGCGTCGCTGTTGTTTGTGAAGAAGAAGGATGGTTCCATGAGAATGTGTATTGATTAAATGTAGTTGAACAAGGAACAAGGTTACTGTCTAGATCAAGTACCCACTGCCATGCATTGATGATTTATTTGATCAGTTTCAGGGCACTAGGGTGTTCTCAAAAATTGACTTGAGATCGGGGTATTACTAGTTGAAGATAAGGGCTTCAAACATTCCTAAGACAACTTTTAGGACTTGTTATGAGCATTATGAGTTTCTGGTGATGTCTTTTGGTTTGATTAATTCCCTTAACTTTAATGCATTTGATGAAGAGTGTGTTCTAGCCGTATTTGGATTCTTTTCTCAATGTGCTCATTGATGATATCTTGGTATATTTCCATAGTAGGGAGAAGCACGAGTAGCATTTAAGGATTGTGCTTCAGAAATTAAGGGAGAAGAAGTTGTATGTTAAGTTCTTTATTTGTGAATTTTGGTTGGTCTCAATAGTATTCTTGGGCCATGCAGTATCTAATTATGGGATCAAGGTAGATCCGAAGAAGATTGAGGCAGCTCAGAGTTGGCCCAAACCTTCTACCACAACAAAGAGCACGAGTTTCTTAGGTTTGAGTAGTTACTATCATCACTCCATTGACCAAGTTGACTCAGAAGAGCGTTCCGTTCAGATTGTCACACCTCAACATAGGTAAGGTGGAGATGCATCTAATGTCTTACGTATGCTACGACCATTCCATAAAAAACCCGATAAACTTACCATATTTGAAGCGCCTATATATATATATATATATATATATATATATATGCCGCCCTCAATTGTAACCCTCTGTAACTTACCATAGGTATCCATAGGTCCACAAAAGCCTCTAAAAGCATCTAACTAACATAACATAGTTGAGACAAGGCCCTGACATACCCATAAGTCTATATATAAAATCAAAACATAAGGACCTCTAGCCTCGACTGCACTGTGGATGATATGGAGTCCATCGATCAACAGTTGGAATTGAAATTTTTTACTCTAGGGGTCCGTCAAACTGCCTACCCAAACCTGCAGCATAAAATACAGTGTCCCGGCCAAAGGGACGTTAGCACGAAATAGTGTATCGAGTATGTAAGGCAACTGAATAATCATAAATAAGTACTGTAATAAAAAAAATAGCGATGAGGTAAGATAACCGCATAAAACAAGGGTCAAGATCACTCGGAGGTTAGAGCTCACACCATACAATAAGTTTAGAAAGCCATATACCATAGTCTTACTAAATGGGACCTGTAGAATTGCTTTGTAGCTTTGTCTTTCTGAACTTTTTATAACAATATCTCACAACTCATACCATGTCTAGTCTATCATACATCAGTCGCACGAACACATAAATTTTAAATGCTAACTACTCATATCGTCTCGTACGTATATGCTAGCTACCAAACTCATAAGTCTTTACTTCCCCTGCTCGGGTACCGGTACTATCATCTCATACCCAACCAGTAAGACGGTACTTTCGGAATAGTGTATCCTTTATCTATTAGGCTATCATGCCCGTATCCGCCAGGCTAGCACTCCTGCACTACCAGGTCACTTGACCTTCCGATGTACGTATCTATTGTACCAACAACATGGCTCAAAAAGTAGAGTTCTCATATTACTTCTACTAAAGTCATCAAATCATACTACAAGCAATAACTATCAACAAAAGGAAATCTCATCATCTCTACAATCGTCTACAACCAATAGCTCGCATAGTGCCAACTTGTATCGTCATGATAGCGGAGTCTTCATAAGAAAGTCATTGTAGCTCATAGACACCTTCTATATAGGATAAGAAGCTACTAACAAACATTTAAAATTGAACCTACCAAGATGCTACCAGTTAAGACATGTACGATCTACTAAAGGCATGAGTTAAGCAACCCTTAGCGGTGGTCGTTTTTATATATGTACGAGGGAGCCGTCATGGTTCATATGCACTTTCAGAAAAAAAAAAAAAAAAAAAAAAGGG